ATTTTGGGCAAAATTTTGTTCCTAAATTTTATGGAAATGTTTTGTTTTTTCACTAATTGGTGCCACATTGTTCATGTAATTGTAGGACCATAGTTAGTCATAATTGACTTCACTGTTACCATGGTTACAATATTGTGCATTGTGATTGGTTATCAAATTAACTTTGGAATATTTACAGTGCATGTAATAGTTGCGCAACTAATGCATTTTTGTTATTTTTTAAACTTTTTTTTTTTAATTGGCAATAACAATTGTAGCAGTTCACCAAAAGATATTTTATATTTGTTTCACAGGAAGTGACATCAGGTGATTTAAATATACAGGATGTGACATCACAATTTTCTTAATATTATAGTCTTCCATTTCCAATTCCTTATTTCAATGGTGCTAGTTATTTTTACAAATTAAAACTTGTATGTTATTAAATTTGTTGGATATTTATTTTCAAAATCAACTGAATCATGCTGTTTGTGGTAAAATTTGAATATAGAATAGGTTATTTGCATATTTATTGTATCTTGTAACTGTGATTGGATAGGATATGGTTGGGATTTGCATGTAGTGTTCAGTATATGATATTCTGAAACTGTTTTTTGCAGGGGGTGTCAAATTGTTGTAAAAGTTTCAAAACTGTTGTCAATTTTACTTTGGTGATCACTCAACATGTGAATAACGAGCAAATACAAATACAATTTACTTAACTTGTCTCTGACTTTTGTGTTTTTTTCTTTTATTGTGTCGCGAGTAAAACTTTGGGAGAGAAGAAGGATTTACCGTAATATGGAATTCCACTTAAACTTTGATGCTGTTTTAGAGACAATTTTTTCTCAAAATGGCATAGATGTTTGAGGGAAAGTTGCTGATCATTGTAAAGCTCTTGAAATTTAACCTGTGAAATTGGTTCTCAATATTTGCCCAATGTTTAGGGTTTTTGTGGCAAAATTGACCATGTGGGGGGGGGGGCAGGTTCATCTCTGTATGCATTTTTCTAAATGAGAATAAAAAAAACTGCATTCATACTTTAAGGTTCTATCATGTATGTTGCAATTGTTTCATTATGGTGGAATTAAAATCAGTGGTTTTCTCATGAAGCCTGGTACATGTTTGTTTGTGTTGGGGGGGGGGGGGGGCAAGCAAGCAAGCAAGCAAGGTTTATACCTCTGGAAAGTGTTGTATTTTCTTGTGATGTGTTGACTGAGGAACACAGAAAACATCAAAGAAACCAGAGAGCTTTCAGGTTTAACTTCTTGTTTATTCTGCTATTTTCAGTTACACCAATGGCACTACTTTTTACATATCAATACACTCGGGTGATCAGGTGACATATAACACCATTACAAAAGTATGTATTCTGATGCATGCAATAAAGTAATCCCAGAGGAGGATGGCACCAAATATCATATCCCAAAATGCAATGCAGCAATGATGTCATTGAAAACTGCCCACTGATGTCATTGAAAACTGCCCACTGATGTCATTGAAAACTGCGCACTCTTTATTGTCTGCACCCGCAATGGTGTGTTTTTCATTTTATTGCAAGGGAATCACTAAAAAAAACTTGAAAAAGGTCCACACTTTTGTATTATTTTTGAAAAGCAATCTAAGTCTAGAACATTTGAGTGATAAAATGTGAAACATTTAAAACCCTTGTACCTGCTTGCATGGTTACACATTCTTTGAGTCCTATCCCTGAGAGCAGCATGTGAGGCAGTAAGTGGTAAATTCAAGAAAATATGTTTCTTTATCATTTATAATTACGTAAATTGTTAAAATATTTTACCATATAAATCATTAAGATAGCAATAAGTTGTTGCTACAACATAGTACCTTTATTTTCTTCTTAAAATAGTGACATTAAAACTAGAATAAAATAATAATATTACTGCATATCCCGGCAACATAAATATAGTAATAAATACACACTGTAAATAAATAAATTTTAGTTCACTTTCTTCACTTTTGTTGCAGTCTTTATATATTTGGTTGAGCCTGTGAAAAAAAAAGATCAATAACTAATTTGTATGTTACACCTAACCGCCACCCCGCCCATGTAATCAATATGCCCAATCATGACATCACAGAGTGTGTTAATGTGTGTCAATCATATCACAGATACAGGTCAATCACAATCATGACATCACAGAGACAGGTCAATCACAATCATGACATCACAGAGTGAGATAATGTGTGTCAATCATACCACAGATACAGGTCAATCACACTCATGACATCACAGAGTCAGGTCAATCACAATCATGACATCACAGAGTGAGATAATGTGTGTCAATCATATCACAGATACAGGTCAATCACAATCATGACATCACAGAGTTAGGTCAATCACAATCATGACATCACAGAGTGAGATAATGTGTGTCAATCATATCACAGATACAGGTCAATCACAATCATGACATCACAGAGACAGGTCAATCACAATCATGACATCACAGAGTCAGGTCAATCACAATCATGACATCACAGAGTGAGATAATGTGTGTCAATCATACCACAGATACAGGTCAATCACAATCATGACATCACAGAGTCAGGTCAATCACAATCATGACATCACAGAGTGAGATAATGTGTGTCAATCATATCACAGATACAGGTCAATCACAATGATGACATCACAGAGTCAGGTCAATCACAATCATGACATCACAGAGTGGGATAATGTGTGTCAATAGACCACGAAGAATTTGTCATGTATCATAGAAACGATAATTAAACGATTATAGATTTCATCGTTCAATCAAACATAAAGTGGCATTCTGGGATATTAAATATACTTACTCCATATTTTGTTGTTGATTTTTTCGCCAATAATGTAGAAAAATAGAAAGAAAATAGCAATTACAAAAAAGAATAAACCAAATTGCGCTCCTGATAATGCTTTCATTATTCCATACACCCAGACATCCAAGACAAAGCCCAAGTACAGAACCCTGAAATGAACATAGTGAAATTATGGTGAGCTTGTCAAGAAATGAAAACAGTTATCTGGTTCTGGAACTGCTAAATAAATAAACTCGAAAATAAGTGCAAAAAAAGATCGGAAAACCCCTTCAATGAAATATGATAAATTGAGACATGCTTAACCATAAAAAAAATAATTTGGTGAACATATAAACAAAATAATTTGGTGAATGCAGACCTATAGAAACTGTTGTTCATTGGTAATATAAACAATTTATCGAAAATCAAATGGTACACTTTTGTATGGAGAAAAGTGTTGAACGTAATTCTCAAAGTCCACCTTTGTTTATGATATATAGTTTTGGAAAATAACACATGCAATCAATTTATTGTAGTTTGTATGATTTGGATATTTTGAAAAAAAAATAACTTGGTTATATCACATATCATAAAACAACATTTATTATTCTTTTGCAAAACTTGGTTATATTATATATCACCTGGTTATATTTGAGAACAATATTTTATAATAAACCAAATTATTGACGTCAGCTGACAGTATTGCTAATATAATTTACATACCATGCTAAATAAGCCAGTCCTACAACCAAAGTACCGAGGAATCCCGATTTGAAAGATGGGTACATGTGCTTTATTAAATACATATCGACCAATAGAAATAGAAGTACATAGGTGTGCTGAAAGAATAAAAACAGAAATTATTATATTGTTATAGATGATAAAACACCAGAGTCGATACACTGAGTCGTTTTTGATACGGGTCCCACGCGACATACAAATAAATTGTTTACACAAAATTCGAACGCATTGCACGTCCACATGACGACTAGTTATACCTGCCTTTTTTTCTGTCGCGTACGCGCCCTCAGTGGCGTTGTAGCCAAATAACTCGGAACGTCTATTTCATTGAGAAGTACGCATTACCCTGGCCTATATTCTGATCATGCATATTTTAAACTTTGCCGAAGCATTATAATTCCGCTATTGTGATCAGCCCAACTACAACGAATGGATTATCGACAGTGACAGGTACTGGTATATATTGTTTCCATTACTAATCGTAGCTTTCCCGCGAATGTGTTGATTTTCAATGCATTTAATCAAATGTATTTGCGAAAAAAATTTCGTACGCTTTATAGTTAGAATTCTAAAATTACCGAAACTGAAAACCAGGTTCGTCTCCCTGAAAAAAAATGTGTGACAATATACATAAAATTTATGTTAAAAAAAAGAAATAAATCGCAAAATATTTCATATAGAAAGACAATTCTTCAAAGAACAAATAGTATTCGGTATTCCGCGTGACTTTTTTTCGAAACGAGACCTTGGAGGTCTTAGAGCGAGACTATAGAGCGAGATCATCATCGTAAACGTTTGGAAGTGTTGTTACATTCTCCATCCAGAGACTATGGGTCTTTTATCACTAAGCTAGGTAGTCGCCAGGGAACGCCCCACGAGTTGTGCCTCTCTGTGGCTTCCTAGGTCAAGACGACTCTGCAAGGGAGAGTGGTGTTGATACTTACGATCACTTGATTCAACCACACAGGAATCAACTCCTGCAAACGTGGTGGGATGTTTGAGATCAGCTCTCTGTCGATTACACAAAGTGTCCAGAATATAAAAACTACAATCTGCAAAATGAAATAACAATTTTCATGGTTATTTAGATTATTTTTGTTGGCAGGGCGCTGGTTAGAATTTGTGGGAAGATTATATTTAGTTCACTGGACGAACTTTCTATTTGTTTCAGTGAAGCTTGTATTTAAAGACCATTTCTCCCGTTATGGAGATCGCATTTTTGTCATTTATGTTTGTTTTTTATTTCAACCATTCCTCCACCCGCCCAATCACCGTCACTCCACCTTTTCATAATTACGTAAATCACTACGCAAAGAAACGTACACAAAATGGAAATTTAATTCAGCTCAATATTTGTTTCAATAAAAATAATCCTGTTTTAAAAACACTTGTCCGAGTAGGTTATTAAATCCGGAACGTGTCTACAAACCCATTTTATTTTGCAACTGATCAAACTCCCTCAAACTACTTTTGGATATTGATATTAAAATAGCTGTGAAATATAAATATTTTAAAAGTACTACAGATTCTTTATATATTTATATAGAAAATATTTAATTTTTTTTTCCACGGGAGATTAAAGTAGAAGCCTTCTAATATTTGTTGATAAAGTTGATCATAAATCACATGACAATGTTCATTGGTTTATTATGTAAAATCATTTCACTTTGTAAACCCCAGATTTCTGAAATAATTGAGAACAACAAAAAGTGTCCCATCATTCAAAATATATTATATTACAGCCTATGCCACCAGCCTAGAATTTGAGATATGGCATATTTTCTCCATCTGCCATAGGTCTACTATGGTCGAAGTATCAGGGGGAAATCCTTCTCCTCTGGGTTTCACCACACGTGCCAGGGGGGAATCTCGTCTCTGTCTCTATATCTCGTCCCCTTGAGGTGCGGGATCGGAGAAGTCACTTTTACTTTACAGTCAAATAAGACACACACAACGAAATACGTTTCAACTCTCGTCTTAGTCGATCAGTCAAGCACTCTATAAGACACAGCGCCCTGGGGAAAATCCCCAAGACTATCGCAAGGCTGACCCAAGACTATCTTAGACTGCGTCAACACTCGCCAAAAAGCTCTCCAGGACTGCGTCTCGACTGCCGTACTCCCCAAGACCAACTCAAACTCTCTTTATTCATTTTCAAAACTCTAACCAATTACAATACAGTTAAAAAACTCTAGGGCGTAACCTTCAATCATACAGCCAATCACATTAAGTACTGAATACGTCATATCTTTTGATTAATCGTTCACTACATTAATAACTACGAATACCAACTGTCAGAATGAGTAGTCAGAATAGCGACGGTTATCTCGTAATTAGTTCCAAATCACTGAGCCAAGTTCCGTCCAAAACTTCAAATAGGCCTAAACGATGACAGACATAACACAGCAATTCAGCTAATAATCAACTAATTAAGTCGGTCAACAGATACACAAAAACAAATTCATGACAGAAGCATTAAATACTACCAAAATGGCCACTATCTATTAAATTACAACTATCACTGTCTTGAAAAGTAAGCTGGTGACCCCCAACTTTTTTAGTCATTATTTTTATGTTGCCCGAAAGAGCAATGAATATGAAAAAAAATGAAAGAATTATGGGTATTTCAAACCATGAGTAGCGAACGACTGTTGCACACTTGTATGTTATAGTGGTAAGGCACAACTTGTAAGAGGGATGTCAGGTGCAACCAACGGGCAATGAATTGAAATAGTCAATTCTCTGGGACAAAATTTATTTTATGGGCCTTTTGAAGTATGCTAATTAATTGCCCTCCTGCTGACCAAATTCATCTTTCCCCTGCCCTCATTAAAAAAACAACACTTTTTTGCCTACTCCCCTACCGCCAACTCGCCTTTCTTGCCCTCCTGCTGACCAAATTCATCTTTTCGCCTGTCCTCATTAAAAAAAAAAAACACACTTTTTTGCCTACTCCCCTACCGCCAACTTGCCTTTCTTGCCCTCCTGCTGACCAAATTCATCTTTCCCCTCCCCTCATTAAAAAAACACCGATTGGTGGCGTAATTCATCGAGTCATTGGCTTCTATGGGCTTCTTGAATACATCAACCACTCAGCAGATCAGTGGGTGACTCGCATTTTCAGTTATTGATAGCACACGGCTGCCCACATTTAGCAGATGTTATTTCCCCAAATGCGTTTTTTTTATTATTATACCCTGCGCACTGGGGGGTGCTGATATTTCTCGCCCCTACAAAAATAGAAAAAATCCCCTGCCCTCAACAAAAATCCCATGGAACAACTTTTTCGATGAACGGCTCCATTGGCTGCACCTGACTATGGCCATTTTCCGCATGCGTAGCCGACGACTACCCCCGCTTCAAGGTAATACTAGTATATCGAAAATAACATTTAAGCCAAAACAAATCACCAACAATACAAACAATAGCTTTATTTTAAGGAGATAAACTAAGCCAGTAAAGGTACTGGTTTATTAAAGGGCGGCAGTCGTCGTGCTGCGTCCTGTTCGATATGGGACATAGCGACGTATACAGCGCGTGTAAAATACATTGTTTATTTACATGAAATTCGAACACGCGCTGCGCGACGACCACCGCGCTTTAAAAATCAAACAAACTCAGGTTGGTCAATGGTTTCTCACAATTTGAAAATAAATGTGTAGGAAGTCAAGCACAACTGTCTCTCATTCGCTCTTTCTCTTGCTTTTCAGTCAACAAAATAGAGTCAGCGCACTTTCTAATTACTGCTTACCGATGCAAAGGGAAACGCAATTGCTGCCAGAAACCAGTCCCGAAATCTGCAAAGTCTTCTTCCAAATTGACTACGTTTGTTACATGACATAACCAAATGTATAGTGATACTTAAACCGAAATAAAATATCTGGAAAACCTGTAATTGAAAAATAAAAGATTATTATTATTATTATTATTATTATTATTATTATTATTATTATTATTATTATTATTATTATTATTATTATTATTATTATTATTATTATAACATAAGTTTCGTGCATTGTTTTTACAAAGCTTCGCAAAGTTTTTCTAAGTAAGTTCTGAAAATTTTTCAAATAGCCATTGATTAAACAATTCAATGAACACTATTCATAATAGCACAAATTGGTTGGAAGTTTACAAATAATGAACTCAAAATAGAATGCACGTATATTTTTTTAGGCCAGAAAAAAAAATTCTCTGTTTCTCGTTTCATGGAAATTTTAAAATGAGGCGGCGAGGCGATTTTTTTGAATACTGAGCTAAAATAGGGGGAATTTGAGATAATTGCGAGTACAAGCGGATTTTGGAATGCTTTAGAAGGAAAAAAACATCCGAGTCGCACAGTTCAAAATGATGCGCGCGGAAACAGAAACAGAGATATTTTTTTTTCTCAGCCTAAAAGGAAATCTGTTAAATAGTATTTCTGATCTTACATAAATCAGTGTTTATATACAGTATACAACAACTGAAAGCTACAGTCATTCCATAATAATCCACT